GCGCCGGCCCCCACAGAAACGGCTACCTACTGCCCGGCCAGGCATGTCCTGCATCGACTTACGTCCCCAGCAAAGCCCTCCTGGCCTCACACGTCTCTTCGGCTGCTCCCGTAATTAGTTAAAAGGAGGATTGCTGACCTGCAGCCCCTTGAGTGAGGTGGCCTGAGGTAGCTCAGCCCTGAGGTAGCTCAGCTCGTGTGCACCTGACTCCCCTGGCGCAGGTGCGAGCCCCTTCTCCTCCTCACATCGTATCTCCGGATTTCCAGATGCCCCAGCTTGCCTGCTTTAAAAATCCCGCGTCCTGCTTTAAATCAAGAGTCCGTTTTACTTACTACCTGGTGTTTGAGAGTTTTAGGATGTGCGTTTCCAAGCTTTTGCTTATAGTCATGGTAGATTTAGGCATAGTGGGAATCCAGGCTCTGATGCTTAAGGAAGAAGACGGCTAACACCGTGAACAGCTGGGAACTATGCTGGTGCTTATCTACCCCCGGGGGGGGGTTGCATAAAATCTTCTCTGTCTGCAGCTTAACAGAGCCCTAATGACAAGATACAACGGGATCTCACAAACTATATCACGGTCTCGATTTGTGGAATTTAACATAAACGTTACAACCTGTTCCGTGTTCTGCAGATAAATTTTTTGAGGGACAAATCCAAACGGACAACACAAATGTCCAAAGGAAAGCCACAATGACAGTGATGTGTACGTGCTGAAGACCACGTGTGGCAGCAACTTGCAGCAGGGAGAGCAGATTAGCATTCAGTATGATCTAGTGAAGTTCCACGGTTTCAACAAATAGAAAATGTTTATTAAGTGTGGCAGTCTGGGAAAATAAGCCTCTTTTTGTACAGAACAGTCAACAATGTTGCTATGCCAATCTCTATTTCTAGGCACAGTTATTGTCTGCTATGCCAGTGATGACGGCCAACAATTCCTTCATGTTTATTTTGATTACGAGCTCTCTTAGGTTCCCAGAAATATGCACAACTTCTCCTTGGAATATTCCTGACACAGGACTGCAGTCTCAAAGGTGCCTTCAAGTATATCTGAACCCCCCCTACATACAGCATCCCTGCAATGTGAATGAACTGGCACGGCTACTGATTTTTTTTGTATCTGAAGGGATAAAAGTACTTTTAGCCTCTGAAATAAGGAGTAGTGCTCCTGCTCCAGTTTTTAAAAAAATGCTTACCATTAATGGAGTTGACTTCAAGCTGACTTCTGGCAGCTGCAAGTGTCACCTATGTGATGTCCGCAGGATAAGGCTCGTAAGTCCAGTCTCTGTTATCCAAATTCCCTTGGCAGTCAGTGCTTTTTTCTCCACGTTCTCAAGTATGTCTTGCCACGTGAAGCACCACAGAAATAGAGTATAGATGCTCTCCTTCAGACTCCTGAAGGAAACCACAGAGCAGAACATATGTTTCAGCTTACCTAAATGCCAGAAAGGATTAATTTTTTAAACACATAGCATTTGGATTCTTAAAATACTAATTCAGCAGACTGCTTGAACACATACATTGTTTATATTTTACTGACCAATTTAAACCTAATAGAGCACTGAAAGTGTATCATGCATACATCATACAGTTTGATGGAGAAAAAGTCTGTCAGATGAGCATGGATCGACAGGGCTTTTTTCTGTGTAGCCTTGCATCAGAAGAGCTCATTTTCTACATTTGGAAGAGGGGTCCCTGCCCCATCTTTATGCCTCTGTAATTAACTGATCTGTTGCAAAGACCTGTGTAGGACTGCAAAAAAAACCTCAAGGATCCTTACTATAAGGGACACACTCATGAGCTTTGGAATTGTCAACAGCTCCCTGTGCTATATGGACCAGGCAGAACAACCCACTGTTGCAGGCAAAGGAGGAGTCATGGTAAAGTCCACAAGTAAAGCTCTTTTTTTTTTCCCCCTACACAAGGAATAACTAATTTTCTTTCAATATGGCACTTACTTGGGATTAAGGGAAGTGGGGGGAAAAAAGAAATTTGTTGTTTTTTTTGTTGTGACGTGACACTTTTCAACACTGTGAAGTGACATAGGCAGGCTCTATTTTAATGAGTCTTGCTAAACAATCTTCTAATAGGGCTTGGCAAAACTTGCCTGGCAGGTCTGCATAGCAATCGATTCAGAATGGTTATGGATGGCTAATAGCTGTGTATCGAGTAGCAGATGATATCAGAGATACTAACTGGGCCTTGTGGTATGCAGATTTCCAGACTGAAAAAGGACTATGAACCTTCACGATTAAGGGACACACAATAATTAACACCCTAGAAACATGAAGTCTTCTCACTCGCAGCCCCGTCAGCAATTGGTCTCCAAGGTAAAGAACAATAGGAGTCCCTTACAACAATTGTTTCCTTTGTACCGCTTAACCAAAGAGCTCCATACACTTTACAGCCACTCATTAAACTAAGTGCCCCATTGCTATTGCATTATCCTGGTAAGGAGGAGAGAGGCACTCTGAAAGTGGCAAACAGGCTAAAAACTGCAGACCGAACTCACTGACTTGTGACTTCTCTTTCTCCGCGAGAGAAAACTGCTGCCATATGGGAACATGCCCTATTTCCCACAATTCCAGGGGAAAAAATGTGTGTACTTTGGCCAGCATCCTTTAATTCCGTGATGATGCAGGAGACAACAGCTATTACGTGAATTAGCATTTTCTTCAAGCATAATTCAAGTTTATTTGAAAATGTGGGTAAAGTATCAAACATAAGAGATCAGATGAGATTAGCCCTGGAATCCTTTCCCCCCTTGACAACTACCTATTTTTTCTTTCATAATTCCTTAACAGATTTATTTTTGTTTTAATTAAATGGGGTGATTTGAGGGTTGGGTTGTTTATGTTTTACTGAGTAGAATAAAACTAGTTTCTTTATGCAAATGAAGTACCCTCAGTGTATGTGTGTGTGTGTGCGTGCGTGTGTATGTATATGTGTATGCACGTATTATGTACATATATGTGTATATATATACACAAACATATATGCTTATATATATATAATAGCAAAACTTTGAAGAGTCTATTGCTTTTAAAAGCAGTGGGACCAGCCCCGGTGATAAAAACTGAAGCCTTTGCATAGGTCCTTTGTGGGGGAACATCAAGTCTAGCAGATAAAATGATTCACATATCTGCTAGAGTTTAAAACTTGTTCCCCTGGCAGAACCCTCTCAAGGAGAGTGGCATTTGATCCTCTAGTAGCCATACGAGTAAATATCCCCACTGGTTTAGTTCCTGTCTTTAATATAGACATATGTAATTTCACACTTGTCATCTTACGTGAATGGAAGTTGGTCAAGTTCAGAATTCATAAATAAATCAGATTATTCAGATTTATTACATTCTTCCTAAATGATCGAAGGAAAACAAGGCTTACCAGTCAGGGATTAATGTAAACACAAAATCAGTGTTGGTGAAAAGGAACGTGAATAAATCTAGAGATCAGCAATGACCCTGCATGTATGTCTTAGTGACCCCACCCCGAGTGCAAAATAGCTGTCGAAATTAGCAAGGGAGGGTGCAGGAAAAAGAAACCAAGCTTGTTCGTTCAGAAGGAGCCTAAACTTAGCAGTAAATATTTTGAGCAGACAAGATCCAAACAGAAATCAATGGAGACGTAAATAAATTTAGCACAGACTGTACGATTTTAGAGTAGAGACTGGGATTTTGTTTTGCTGGTACAACATATGGCAAAACAGTACTGAAATATATCTAACGATATTAGTGGCTAGAAGAGGGGAATTTCCATGACGAGAGGAACTTATCACAAAGGGGAAATGCAAGTCAGCCTACACAAGAAAATGTATAATACCACAGCTATACTGTTTAGGTATATTGCTTTGTATTGCAGAGGGTAAGTTTACAGGTTTTTTGAAGAGCATCCTGAAACACTTTCAGGCTAGACAAGCTGTCCATCCAGAGAGTAAGCCCGGAAGTTCAGTTTATTTTGTTTGGACCATTATTATGTTAGAAGGTCTGCCACTGTGACTGGCTGCAGGGCACCTTCACCAAAGCCGCCTGCATATTTGAAAGGCCAATTGCAAACAACTCTGTATAGAGCCGGCTTTATATATACATGTGTTTTTGTGTGTGTGTGTGTGTGTGTGTGTGTGTGTGTGTGTGTGTGTGTGTGTACGTACACACAAATTAGAGCTCTATTGTATATAAAGTGTATACCATTTTTTATATATATTATAGATATTTATGCACACATAAAACTATGTATATATTTATGCTGAAAAAAGCTACCCTAGTAGGAGTTACATTGGTATGTTTATACCAGTACAGCTGCATCAAAGCTCAGGGACAAGAGGAAGTGCATCAGCAGAACTTAAGTCACAAAACTTCCTACTATAAACAAGGCCTAAGTAATAAGCTGAACTACAGCTAACCACCAATGAAGTGGCACCAGCCTTTTACAGACAGTGAAATGTTGAAGCAGAGTGCTGAAGGTGGCTAATTCTGACTTCCATTTTCACTGTCTAGATTAACGTTTGGTGTAAGCCTACGTCTGTGTTCACCCTATTTATGTTGTTTTAATGCAATGTTCTCCCCTCCTCTCCCTTCCCCTCCCCGCATATAATCTATTTTCATCAGAGATACTTTTGAGGTTAAACTGTCCTGGGAGGAGTTTGTGAACCCCTCTGACAATAGGAAAACCTACCTTCTGACCTCCAAGACAAGGTTACTGGGAGAGAGAGATCAAACACCCTAGACCTCTTTAGGATTCTGATACATGACAGATCTTCCCTAGGTAATGTCCATATTCCCAGTACAGTAACTGGCATAAAATTTGGAAAACACAGCTAAAAATCAAATTGCTTGTAGCAAGTGCCTAGTCCTAAAATCTTGATCCTGAAGGAAGTCAGTGTCTTTGCTGGTAATTTTTACTAAAGCAAAAGGGTTTTTTTCAAGAACAACACCGTGGGTTGGCCCCTGTCTATTATTTCATGTCTCAGAAGAATCCTACATATGGTGTGCTAGTAACCACAGAAATTGAGACTTCTCTAATACTGAGAGAGCGCTGGGAAATGGCCAAAGAGGGAG